AAACAAGAGCAGGGAGATTAACATGATAAACACAAGCAAATATTCTGAGCAATCCCCAATAATTCTGCATTGTCACTCTAGATTACCAACTCCAGTTTACACCAGTCCTAGACGTGTGCAATACAGAAATCACACTTTTAGAAAGGGCAAGCCCAGGACAAAAATAAACAAACTGATTAACTGAAGGAATAATTAATGATTATAATTAACGATCTGTAAAATAAGGTATCACTTTTGAAACATTAATTGATCCCTCTGGGCCTAAACTATACCCACATAGAGAAACATACAAATGTTCTTTTTCATCTTCATTCCTGTCCCTCCAGAGGAAACAGCAAAAATAAGAAAAACGATCAGGATGGAAAAGGAAAAGAAAAAGAGAATTGTGACATGGGACAGGACAGGACAGGACAGGACAAGAAGAACAAAATGGGTAGAAGTGAAGCTAGCAGGGAGAGGTACCGAAACAGGGAAAGAAAAAGAAGAGAGAGAAAAGCCTATAAACATTTCAAAAAGGGGTAAAATCCTCCTGCCAAATAGCTCTTCCAAAGCAAGGAATAACATTCAGACTAGTTTTCAGAGGCATCCATTATGCTATTATTTGTATCTCTTGACAACTTTCTCAATTTAGAGGCAATTATTTAAGAGAAAGAATGTTGTGATAAATCTCCTTCTAATAAAGGTTTGTTTGTTCGATTTATATAGTTGCACATCTCACCTATATGACCTTACAGCAGGGCTCTCCAAACCTTTAAAACTTGTGGACTTCAGCATCCAGAATTCCCCAGCCAGCATGGCTGGGAAATTCTGGGAGTTGAGGTCCACAAATCTCAAAGTTCCCAAGTTTGGAGATCCCTGGCCTAGAGTCTGAGCACTGGCCTAATACAGTGAGGACAGAGGGGAACTGAATTGGGAATGTGTGTTCAACTCTCTTTCTGCCATAAAGCTGACCAGTCACTATGCAGAAAACCAGAGCAGCTCTGACAGCTCCAATACCCCCTCTTTTATAAAGAAAATCACCTTCAAAAATTAGATAATTTTAGATACTGAGCTTAACTATCTTATGGAGTGGTGTGTATGGAAGCTAGTTGTAGTCCAGTGATGGGAGGGAGAGAGGGAGGGAGGGAGGGAGGGAGGGAGGGAGAGAGAGAGAGAGAGAGAGAGAGAGAGAGAGAGAGAGAGAGAGAGCTGTGAGCACAAAATGGTCAAAGAATTGCATAAATTTAATCAGTGTTAATTCTTGACTCCATGGTATTCCTTGTTATAATGCATAAGTGTAAGGCATTGACTCTGTACTAGAAGTGAGAGGAAAAAGGCTGACTCCTTTGTCCTAAGGTGTTGGGAGAGGCTACTTAGTGTTCCTTGAGCAGCCACAGGAATCAGCCATTCAGTACTAGAGAAAAGCAAGCACTAGAAACTAGAAACGAGGAACATGAAACAAAAAAAATCATACTTTAGACATATCATAAGAGTTGAAGCATTGAAAGACAGAAGGAGAAGATGAGGCTGACAGTGCATGATGCAGACAGAGTACTGAAAGCCATCAAAATGCACCTGTAAGAACTCGATAATGTGGCAACAGTTAGGACGGCTTGAAGACCTTTTATCCAGAAGCAGTAGATGTTTGCTACAACACAACAGTACATAACTACAGCTATCTCTAAAGGGGTTTGAACAGCCCATCAAATTCAACACACCTTCAAACAGAGGACTATTTTCTGACAGTCCTTTAGAGAGAGGGATGTTCTCTATAAAAAAAAAAGTGTGTTTACTAGAGTAGTCTCTGAGTAATGGTTATTGCTTTTTATTATTTTCTTATTACTTTCATTATAATTCCAAAATATGGGAAACCTACTCTTCTGTATTAGAAGCTCTCCTGCTCATTCTGCTAAGTTGAGTTCTACCCCAGAGTCTTATCTTAAGAATACCAGCGATGAAGCAGATTCTGTTTGTGAGCTGAAAGTAAGAG